CTCTTGTCGAGTCCAGCTACTACTTCCACGAGCAAGACTCCACCACTGTCGAGTTCGATTCAGTGGTTCGACAAGGAAGCAGAGAATCTCTTCAGCGACAGTGAACTTTCGAGCTCGGCCAAGAATACACCGGTCAAGAAAGAAGCTGAAGAGGTCAGTAGTGATCATTTTGTATCAATTATTCGTTACTTCGTTCTACGGAAATCGGAGGATGCGAGCCTCTATAACAGGCATATCAAATTCATGTTAAATGCGCATTTTTCGGGTCTGACATCATGCACTTAAGGATGTATCGGCTATATACATCATGTGCAAAATTTAAATGAATTCATGGGTTTTTTGAAAAATTATAGTTACTTAANTGGGATTGACTATATAGCCAATACATCCTTAACATAGAAGAGACACGGTTCTCATATTTAATCTCAGTACCGAACGTAGAGGACAGTGAGTGAAAACAGAGAGAAAGGACAGTTCAGACACACGATGTCCGATTAAACAAGATTCTACTGTAATTATTTTCTGATTGTTACAGACGCAAGCTAAAAGCCCACAGATAGACGTTTTCACGGAACTGGACCCATTAGGAACCGGCTTAATAAAGCCATACGTAGACAAGAAAGACTTCTTCCAGCACCTGAAGAACCCACCTAAGAAAGTATTAAAGGATTTAGTGTCCACCAGCTCGGACACCTTCCAAACGAATTTCGACGTCCTTTCAGAGCCTCTGGAACCAGGAACAGCTCGAAGCGAGCCGTCGTCGAAGGAGACTCAGTTCGACGATGGTAACTTCGCGAACTTCGACAAGTTCGACGAGAACGAAGCAGTGCAAACAGTCTTCACACGTTCTGACTCTTCAAAAAGAACTGATACTTCGACTAGAGCTGCTCATCATCAACCACTTTCAGTCTCTCTGCCTCCTGAAGACTCTGCTACTTCTACTCCAACTTCTAGCAGCGTTCCACCAGTGAGCAAGACAGAGAAAGATTCTACAGAGCCTGTACAAGGCCCAGTGAAACTGCCCAGTCCCATAAAATCGACACGGAAGAAGGAATTGGAAATCGACTTACCCAAGTCTATCGACAAATCTTTTCCAGTCGATTTTTCCACAGCCAACGAGTCACCGGTTTCTCCACACAAATGCTGTTCTCCGGAAATTATGTGCGTGTGCCGGTCGGTCGCGGCTGAGTTTGACCCGGTGCCCGAACGACCACCACGAGGAGCTTCCAATATCTTGATCAACCCACCGCCGCTGCCACCGAAGAAGCAAGGTCACAGAGGCGCCCTGAAACCGCCACCGAGGCCACCTCATACGGACACTTATTTCCACTACGACTTCCCGGAGAGAGAAAACGGGAAGGAGAGAAATAAGAGTCCACCCAAGGAAGTGAAGAGTCAGTTCGACGACAATTTCAGTCCGCCTCTTCAGATGACCGACAAATCGGATTTGATTGTGACGATGACGACCACAGCATCCGCATTTGAGGACTCGTTCAGTTCTATAATGCCGACGGCGAATATATCCACGTTCTTCACGTCGACCAGCACGCCGACCGGGCAGAAGAAACCGAAGCCTTCGTTGGACATCACGTTGAGCCAACTGACCTCTGCAAACTTAAACGAACTGGCTAACAGTTTGGGAATCACTGTACAAGAGTTGACGAGCTTGACGCTTCAGCAGTTGACCGAATGTCTGGCTAAGCTTGCGAGCAAGGAAGTTCCCCCGAGCGACACTGAAGAAATGGACCGAGAACAAAAGGTACAAGGTCAAACGAAGACTACCAACGACTTCCAACCATTCTCCACGATGAACGAACAGGAGAGCAGGCAGGAAGTTACTTACGACAAGTACGCTGTTTTCCGAGAACTTTTAGAACTGGAGCAGATGGAGAGGAACGAAGAGAGTACACCGAAGGATTCCATCGAGGAGGAAACGTCTTCGGTGTCGAAAGAGGAATTCGAGATGGCTACGCAACAGCAAGAATCCGGCGACGAGAGCAAGTCAGAAACTTTGGCTTCTTTAGTGAATTTAACTGTGAATCTCCCTCCCAGCAATGAAGATCTGACCAAAGAAGAATCGACGGAGAGACCTGAAGAAACGAGTGTATCTTCTTCGATATTCGAAAAGACACAATTAACGGAATCAGAAAGTAAATCGGAGCTGGTAGAACCAAACAAAATGGAGTCCGAAGCAACGACTGATATCCCAATAAAGAGAACAACCGAAGAAGCTGAAACGGAGTCCGAAAAAAGAGCGATAGAAATCGAGGACAAAACAGAGGATACCGAATCGACTGAGAAACCTAGTGACTCCAACGAAGACTCTGATAAAACGATACAAGAAACTACTTCTGAGGAGACCAGTGCGCCTTCGACGGTAGAGAAGACACCTTCCGTATCGACGTCCAGCGACAGGTACGCTGCTCTGCGCGAGATAATCGGCGAGCCAGAACCTCCGAAACAAGCCGAAGAGGAGAGTTCCAGTTCCAGGATGTCTCCCATAATCCAACCGCCTCAAACAAAGACTTTAGTGGAAGTGGAGCTATTAAATTTGTTCTCTGACACGCCTCCATCTTCTAGTCCAAAGAAGACTAAGAAAGAGGAAGAAACGAAGAGCATGGGTTTAGATATTTTCGAGGAGATCGAGAGACTCAGCAGTGGCAGTCATTCGACGAAGAAGACTAAATCTCTGATTCCAGAGGACATATTTTGCCCGTTCACGGAATTGAAACCGGACGACGGGAAGGACGATGGGAATTGGGCGAAGTTCGACACGGGATTATTCGTTACTGACAGGCCAGGCGAGGATCCACACTCGATCAGCGGCACGTCGCCTTGGTCCCCCGACGGGAAGGAGTTCCACAAGGAGGGAGCGTTCAAAGGAGGGTATCGACAATCAGGTGGCGACAGTGACAACGAATGGAAAGACGAGGAAGAGAGCGAAGAGAGTAACGGTAGGATACGAGACGGTAGATTTTGGTGCAGTCGTCATTCCCGGTTCGACGTTCCCTTCGACGAGAGAGGATTTTACGAAGAGGCCGGAGGTTCCGCTGGTAAAAGAGACAGAAGCTTCCGTCATAGAATGATGGAGAAACCTCGGGACGCGGCGTGGATCAAGAATCCTGATCACAGACCGAGAGACCCTTCGCCGTGGCACGAAGAGAGTCAATGGGAACAAGAACCGAAACGCTATCCTCACAGAAAGATGCCGTATAAAGACGAAGAGGAATATGAGGCTCATTGGAAGTGCAGACCGAAGCCGCAACGTTGGAACTGGTCGCACGAGCACAGACCGTTTTACGACGAAGAGAGGAAGAGGAAAATGATGTTATGGAAAGAGGACAGATTCGGTAGCCAAGAGAGCATGGGTTATGAGGACGAAGACAGGATGAGGTCCAGGAGGAAATGCGAGCGAAGAAGATGGGAAGAGGACGCCAGATTCTGGAGCAGGAGGACGGCAGGTTTCCCGGAATCTGACTATCCCAGTAGGGAGAGTTATTATTATTATAGAGAAGGCAGAGAACGACCGCACGATTATCCACCTCCGGGTTGGGACGAGGAGTATGGCTCGGATCGACCGACGGACGACTCCCCCAGGTACAATCAACCTAGTAGGAAGAGGCACTGGCCGAAAAGGCCCAACAGTGCCAACGAGGGACGGAACGTTGAAATAGGTTACACCGAGTCACGAAGCAAATTCGGTACGTCCAGGTCTGAGTGCAGCGACAACGACTCTGATCCTTACCCACGTTCGTCGCAGCGGTCCAGAAGTCGCGAGAGCTATTGGAGCAGCGACCAAGAATACGACAGCTGGGTGGAGAGGCCTTATTGGTCCGAGGGACCAGACGCGAAGAGCGAGAGTCTGCATCAGAAGAGGATGCCTAGGAAAGCTCGTCAGCCTCACGCCAAGACGCAGAGCCCTTTCGAAGACGACTTTGCACAGAGCGTGGAACACGTCGACCCTTCGGCCGTGGAACCGATAGCTGCGGAACCGCGGGTTCGTTCGGAGGGCGGTGAACAGAAGCCACCTCAGAGTCCCTCGTTCGCGACGAGGTACCCCAAAGGGTCCAGGGGCACGTCGAGGGCGATGCCCACGGAGGAAATTTATGGTAAGAGGTCCAGTTACTTCGAGGACGACTTGACGCCTTCTGCCAGTGGCTTGAGCGACACGTCGGACCGGCAGAGGTTATCGTGGGAGTTGAAGGCGACGCCTGAAGAGCTTCCTAGCGATACCAAGGAAGCGCATCAGCCGACGGACAGCTTCGCGTCCGAGGACAACGGCCGGGACTCGTTTTTTAATGGCGACCTGAGATACGACGACGACGACGCGTTCGCGTTCAAATCGGAACTAGAAGACAACGTCTCAGAGCACCGAGCTACCACGTTGCCGTTGAAGAATCACGGCAGACAGGGCAAATACTCTGCCGGGAGTAATAACAATAATAACAATAAATCCAGGAGCGATCAGTACATCAGGAAGTCCGAGTCGGTGAACATATTCGTAAGGGAGAACGATCCGTTCGACGACGACGATTTCTTTAACTGATGCGTCGCGCGGAGAGTGTTCAACGTGCATGGTGCTGGACGTTCCGGTGGTGGTGGTGGTGGTGGTGGTAATGGCGGTGGCATCATGCGTCGGGTTTCCTTTCGTTGAACTGGTGCTGGCAGTGTCGTGGCGTTTACTTTCTTCTGTCCATGAACGCCGCGACCGGCTTCGACGCTCTCTCATTAATCGACCGGGAGACTATTTCTGTGTAGCCCTCGAATTCTAAGTGCTGGCACGATGGCGGAGGCGATGAGTATTGGCCAAAGTCATGAGAGACAGGACGATGTAACTGTTTTACATCAGGCAGAATGTCTCAATCTTGTACAACCTTCGAGGTGAATAGTTTATTTATCGACCCGATTTATATATAATATGTTTTATTCTAATTATTTAGTCTAAAAAGAGCCGCCTTAACACTAGATTGCCCAAGGAAGTTATTTTGACTGCTTTTGGGCAAATGTACAAATAATAATGCATAA